CTATAAATTCACCTGCTTCTGCACACAGCCTAATTAACTAACATGACCCGGACGGAACCAGACATCCCTAGGGTGGTCTTATCAACACGGAACAAACAGGGCACCTACAGTGGTGAACAGAACAGACCCAGGGGACAGACAGCTTGGTCTGAAGCCAGCTTAGCATGCAGGCAGTTATTTAACTGTGTGCTTTAGCTGCTTCATCAAGAAAATCAAGGTAATAACAGTGCCAACTGCTAGCATTATAAGGTGCTCAGACAAGTGTCTTACAGGAATATTATTATTATTATTATTATTATTATTATTATTATTATTATTATTGTTGTTGAAGCTTGATTTCTTGAATTTTACTGACAGGTTACATCTTTCAGCAACTTGAAAAATTGTTTATCTAGGCTTTAAGATTAAAAGGGCTGGCCGCTCTTTTATCATTCATTTACTTATCTTGGCTTCAATTTTATGTAAAGGATAGACTCTTTTCCAGTTTGGATTATTCTCATTGGAGGAGATAAAATAAACAAACTCGCATTTGAACACGGGGAAAATGTAACAACCAGTCAGCAATCTCGTCTGTTGTCCCCGTGCTGAAAGCCCATGACTTACTTCCTTTCTTCTCTCTTCTCAAAGCCTCCAAGTCTCTTTCTAATTTCAGTGTCTTGATAACATTTGTGTAAGTTCCTGCCACTCCGCTACATTTGGCCTTCTGTCCTTTGTGCGTATCCTTTTAAAAACCCATGCCCATCAAGGAGCTTCTCATCCTGCTTCATCAGTTTCTTTTGATCCTATGCCACATGGTTTGTTGGCAACTCAAGCATCTTTCTCCCCTTTCCATTTCATTTCTCCCCATTTCAACCCCTGCATTGCAGGGACTGGAAGCCTAGAAACTACATTTCCTAGAATATCTCCAGCAGCAGGGCTGTGGGTTAGATTGTGGCAATGAGGGGCATTTGCATGTATTTTGGAAGGTAGAAGAGAAAAAGAGGTCACTGTGGCTCTGTTAACAGTGTTGGTCAGGCTCGTGAGCTTCAGCGGAAGCAGTTCTGCCAGTGGCTTCTAGTAATTTTCCTGCAGACCCCCACAGATGCTGCAGGCAGGCCAGATCGTTGGTGATGACATTACTGCTACTTCTAGCGGTTTTTCCCAAATTTGGCTTTCCTAGTCCTTCCAACTATTTTTGAAGTCCCTATATTAAATTCCTTTCTGTTTGAAATCAGGCGTTTTATTTTCCTGACAGAAGAGGTTTATGCAACTATTGGAATGGGTAAAGTAAGCAAAGATCAGGGAAGCTGCAACACAACACAGTCTATAGCACTGCAGAGGATGGTTCTCAGAGGTCCAATGCAAGTCACTTCAAACCCCAATATCTCTGGAGTGCCATCGATGAGCTCTGCCGTCTACACCACCAAGCCAGGAGAAGGGCTGGGGCTGCCTCGGGAGAATACTGGCTTCTTCTTGTCTTCAGCCTCTCCATTGCATGCAAGTGCCTTTCTCTGACAGACTCTTGGCCCAGAACTACACAGAGAGGAAGATTCTGGGAAATGGATTCTGGCTTCTTCTCCATGACAGAGAGGAGGCTGGAGAAGGGGGTGATACTCCTGTACAAAAGTAGCTCTCATATTTGTTTGCACAGGACAATCAGTGCTTAGACAGCACTTTTTTTTTTAAGTGTTGTATCCTTTCTGAATTGCTCTGTTTTTTCTTGTTATGAGCCATATCCAACTTTTAGCAACTTGTTTCCTCTAGCATACAGATCTGACTTTGCCCTTTGCCATTATGAACTGAAAGGTGACCTGTTTGTCATAAATTAACTTTTTCTCCATTAAAAAAATCCCTAGATTAATAGTTTTTCTTATTATTTCTTGCATCTTCTGAGAAACCTGTTGTCAATAATTTATGCAATTTTGCAATTTTCTGTTTTGTGGAGAACAATTGTGTCAATTGTGTAACACATTAAGACAGAATTATACTCTTAGAAATTGAAAGCCTCTTAAAAGTCGCACAGTTGGATTTCCCAACCAGGATGTGAGTCTTTATAAACGGAATGGCAAACAATCACACGTGTTCCTTACTTTCTGTCCTAGTTGCCAGTGGCAGTCATTGTTAATGATCTCAACACTCTCCCCTGCTGACCCTGAACTCAGGCCTACAATCTTTTCCATTCACTCCTCAAGCCAGCTAGTGCCAACAGATGAGAGCTGCATCCAAGATCAAACCGACTGTCCCCTGCCCAGTGGCCATTGGCCTATTACTCTAACCTCCTCAGTGAGAGTGAATGCATCACTTCCCAAATGTTGCCTGTATCTAAACGATTTCATCCATTAGAAAGTTCTTCCTTATATGGGACTGAAATACAGGTCCTTCTGTATATAAGCTCTACCTGTTGGTGCAATTCCTGAGACCACACATAACAAGTCTAAATCTGCTTCATAAACAGTTCTTCCAGTACTTGAAGACGAAGTCTCTTCTGCTCAAATCTTGCTTTTAAGGCTAATAACAACAGTGTTGAGTTCCTCTAATCACTCTCTTTGTTCTTTCACAATTTCGGTGATTCTAAGTTTTCCAGATTGTCTTTGGGAAATCCAAAAGTTTGCTCTGAATTGCCTAGTACAGACAGCTCCCATTCACTGGTAGCACACCGAACCACTTGCACTGTTGAGCCACACAACATTTAGCAGAGCAGAGACAGGCAGACCTGTGACAGACTCATACATAAGCCCCTCCCGTCAGCCATGGTCGCCTGTACTTTTTCCCCATTCTGCTTTGTGCTTTCCCTCCCCTGGTCCAGCATCTTGTTCTTCCGTCCATTCCTCCCTCCCTCCCTCCCATATTCCAGAGTGCCTTTTTCAAGCCCCATTCCATGGTTACTATGGCTCCCTACATTTCCTTTCCTGTACTGAATCTTCCCCTCTTCTTCTTTGGTTGAAATCTGGCTTCCCCCTTGGGACTCTCATTCCCTGGAGCCTCGGGTAATAGAGGCTGCTGCCTCTTTCACACTCCAGGCTTCAGGGTCTGCAGGTGGGACTGATGTCCTCTTTGCTTTCTTTGTTGTTTCCTGGCTATTATTCCTCTAACCTTAAGCAAAAAGCTCTGCTCTTATGAGGCTGCTTCCAGCTTCTTCTAGTCTGTGTAGCTTCCACCTACTGACATCCAGACCATGTCCCTTTACTGCAGCATTTGGCTCACATTCTCTCCCTCCACCCGTGGTTTCGCATCCTGAGAGGCTATGATGCCCGTGTACATGAGCCACCCTCGACTTTCAGTTCATTAACTGGCTCAGTCACACTGACTGTCATGCACATCCGCAGCACTTGAGTCCCCCACTCATGGCCTAACCCAAACTGCATCATCACCGAGATCTGCTCCACTTTTGACACTTTCTCTAGTACTCCCACTAGGCCAGTTCCTAAATCTCATTACATTAGCCCCCTTTTTTCTGCCTCCTGTGCATTATCCTCTTCCTACAGCCTCCTAACAGTTCTACCTTGTTCTTGACTTAGCTTAGACACCAAGATCCATCACTTCCTGTGAGCAGCCACTCTAATCTTTATGGATTTTGTACTGGTTCACATGACACAGTTCAAGAAAATTTGAAGTGGTGCCCCCCTCCTCCAAAACTCAAAACCAACAATAAACACACAACAAAAACCCCTACAAAGTCTTACTTTATGTAAGAATGGAAGTAATATGAATTCCCTACATTTGAAGAATTGTTAGGAATAAAGTTAAAGCTGGAGGGTCCAGTGAACTGTAGTAAGTTTTTACCCTATTGCCACATGGTGGTGCCATTTTAGCCGATAAACAGATTAACACCTGCCATCTTTGCCCAGCACTGTGGAAACTCACTGCTGTTTACGTACGGTGGGACTTCTTCACATGGTATGATGACTAATGCGCTGTTGTTTTACAAACTCTGTTATAACAACTGAAAATATTTTCATATCCTACAACAATATCTCTCAAGCACTCATTAAGCAGTGGTTCTAGTGATAATGCCAAAAAACCCAGCCCCCAGAACAGTGAACAGAAGTGAGTTGTGATAAAACACTGTGAAGGCCAAACATCGACTCTGATGCCCTGTGTTGTTAATTTAGGAACAAGCACTCTAAAAAAGTTAGAGGTAATGAAGGAAAAAATTAAAAAGAAGTATTGAAGTAAAAATATGCTACAATGCTTTAACATTCATGCACTGCCCCCACCAAAATATCCTTTTATATGTTTTCCTATGAAAAAATTAGTCTTGAAATATGTACTTTATATGATGAGATCACATCAGGAACACATCTAACACAGAAATGTAAATGCCTTCTTAAAGCATGACATTTCCCCAACCTTTTCCATGTAGTGCTCCTGTTTCCATGGCTACACCCAGCCATACAGTAAATACTGTGGTGATTATGAGCATGGACTTCGGAGCCAGATTGCCCAGGTATGAACCTCCCAGTTCCATTGTTTCCTGATTGTATGGTTTGGGGTAAATACAACAATTCTGTGCATTAGTTTCCTTATTTAAAGAATTAGGTTGATAATACTACCTACCTCAAAGGTTTGTGAGGCTTGAGTGAGTTAATACACACAACACACATAGAGCCCCACACAGCACTGAGTAAACACTGTGTGTTAGCCACACGTATAGTCGTTGTTGTCACTACCACTGCCACCACCTTCCCATCAATCCTTGACACGTACAAGACAACTGATTTCACTGGGTTTATAAAATGAGGCACTTTTAAAATTCACAGTGTATGACTTACTCATAGCGTATGCAGTGGTTACTCATAGGACAGGCAGTTGTACAAAGATACCAGTCCTTCTTTTGCTATTTTCTTTTGGAAAATCGTCAGAATCCTTCTTCCTGACAATTTTCTGTATCAGTATACAGTAGAGAAAGCAATATTTAAAGAGCAGGTGCTGGGGAAGTGGTATGATTCTGAATGCAGCCTGCTCAGGCACTAATATTTACATCAAATGATACAACAGTATGGTCCTTTCACCAGTCCTACCTTTAGCCTGTCTTTGGGCAGTGCAACAACCCCTTGCTTGATGATTTCCAAGACGCGTTCCACAGACAGCTCAGCTCCAGCTTGTAGCAACTTTGAGCTGAAGAAGGTGATCACCTGGAATGCAAAGTAAAGTGTTATTTTTTCAACAAGTAGATGGAAGAGATGCATTTTCAGTAGATGCCTTTCTCACATGGTAATCAAATCATCATAATTCCATTTCTTCTAGTAACCTGGCTTTTAATTCACTAGCTTTCCCAAATGCAGTCCTCTCCATAAAGGGCTGAATTAGAGCCAACCTCTGAATATTCAGGACTGATTATCCATTCTATGAATTAAGTCTGAATTCTGCTTTCTTGTGCTACCTCACCTTGTCCTTATATACCATTTAGAGAATGGCACTTGTCAGAAGGTAGGAAGAGAAAGCTAAAGGTTAAAACTTGTCAATTTTGAGGCTTAAAAGTAACTCTCAAAAAAAGGCCTTAAAAAGAAAGGAATGTGAAGCTAATGGCTAAAATGATGTATCTTTATTTATAAAATGAAGAAGGTGCCCTTTCTACTACACAGGAAACTATTACAATACACTTGAAAGTAGTCTGTTAAGAGTAAAACCCATGCATGTTACTACCAGAAATCTATCCAATCAATAACATTTCTTTGTAGTTATATGTTTATATTTCCTGATTTATGCCTTGCAGAGTTAAACATTTTGTAAGAACTAAATTTGGTGGCATAGGTCATCTCACCCAAACCAGACAGGAAAAGGAGGTGAAATCTACTGAAAGTAAATTCCAAGAAATCCTCCAAGTTAAAACCAGCGTGATCACCACAAGTGTAATACATAGCTATAGGGCAACTAAAAACTGTTCTATTTTTAATTTATGAATTTATGCATAACTCTTAACATCTGTTGTATTATAGACTTTATGTGGATTATTTGGAAGGGAGGTTAATTGGTTGGTTTAAAATAGTGATTTCTTCCCCAAAACCTAGCATGATAAGTTTCTTAGGTATGTAAACCTAAATCTACTGAGAAAAATTTTTGTTAGTTTCATTTTCAGAAAAATTAAACGGTATTAAGATTGAGGAAGTTTCCATGGTTTCTACAGTTTTTGTTTTATCATGAAAGAGTACTGAATTGTCACAAATGCTTTTTCTGCATGGAGATACGATTTTTTTCTTCTTTAGTATATTAATGTGGTAAATTATATTAATTAGGTTTTGAAAGTTGAACCAGCCTTGAATTCCTGGGATATATACTAATTAATCATGCTATCCTGTTAGATTCAATTTGCTAGTATTTTATTGAGGATTTTTGTGCCTATATCCATGAACAATATTAATTTGTAATTTTCTTTTCTTGTAATATCTTTGTCTAGTATTGGCATTAGGGTAATAATGTCCTCAACAAAACAAGTTGGGAAGTATGTCCTCTTCTGTTATCTGGAGGAGCTGTATTGAAATAGTTATTATTTCTTTCTTAAAAGTTTGGCAGAATTCAAGGGTGAAGCCATCTAGGCCTAAAGGTTCCATTGTTGGAAAATTTTAAGTACTAATTTAATATCTATTAAAGATATAAAACTATTCAGACTATTTCTTCAAGAGTAAGCTTTGAAAGTTTGTGTCTTTCAAGGGATTTCTCCATTTCATCTAAGTTATAATTTATAGTCAGACTTATTCTTATTCATAATATTCTCTTATTATCTTTTCAATGTCCTCTATCATTTCTGATATTGGTAATTTGTGTCTTCTTTTTTTTCCCTCTTGATTAGTTTGGCTACGGATTTTTCAATTTTACATTTTTTCCCCCCCAAATAATCAGCTTTTGGTATCACTGATTCTCTCTCTTTCTTTGTCAATTTCATTGATTTTTGCTCATGTCTTCACATTTTCCTACCTTCTTCTTGCTTTGGATTTAATTTTCTCTTTTTTCCCCTAGTTTCTCAATGTAGAATCTTATCACTGATGTTTCTTCTTATCTAATAGAAATATTTAATTCTGTAAATTTCCCTCAAAGCTTTAGTTGGGTCTCACAGGTTTTGAAATAAGCAGTTTCAGTTTTTCCCACTTTAAAATATGTTCTATTTCCCTTGTGACTTCCTCACTTTGACTCAGAGGTGCACTGCTTAATTTTCAAATATCTTTCTTACTGATTTCTAGCTTAATTTCATGTTGTCAAAGAGTATACTCTATAAGACTTAAAAAAAATTTCTTAAGGTTTTATGGCCCCAAATATGGTCTATCTCAGTGAATGTTCCACATGCACTAATGTTGTTGGGAGAATGTTCTATAAATGTCAATTAAATCAAGTTGATTGGTAGTATTGTTTGGGTCCTCTATATTGTTACTAATTTTCTATTTATTTTATCAGTTATTTAGAAAGAAGTGTTAACTTCTCCAATTACAATTATGAATTTATCTATTTCTCCTTGCAATTCTCAGTTTTTGCTACATGTATCTTGAGGTCTGTTGTTAAGATACATCGACATTTGGGATTGTTATGTCCTCTTGGTGAATGGATCCCTTTATCATTACATGGTGTCCCTCTTTATCTCTGGTAATATTCCTTGTTCTGAAGTCTATTTGCTGTTAATATAGTGACTCCAACTTTCTTTCAATTAATGCTTGTGTACGAAAACTTCACCCTTTTACTTTTAATCTATGTCTTTATATTTAAAATGAATTTCATATTGACAGAGCATAGTTAGATCTTTTTATCCAATCTCAAAATCTGTTAATTGGGGCATTTAATGTAATTGTGGACATGACTGGATTGAAGTCGACCACATTGCTTGTTGTTTCTATTTATTCTACTATTACTTATTTTGATTTTTCTGCCTGTCTTTGGACTGAATATAATTTATGATTCTATTTTATCTCCGTCTTGGCTTACTAGTTCTATCTCTGTTTTTTATGGCTTGCCTAGAGTTTATAATATACATCTTTAATTTATTGGTCTACCCTCAAATAATATACTATTTCACATTGTCAAAAACTGTCAAGAGTCCTGAATTCTACCCTACTTGCAAGTTAACAAGTTAGTCAGTAACAGTTTCATGGATACTGGAAGATGATGGAGATTTCTGGGTCAGTGATGAAGAGTTTTTAAATCACAGCAATAGCAGTAACTGAAGCATTGGCATTTTCATACTGGCTCCCCAAGCCCCTATTTGCATAGGGGTGATTTGAAGAGTACTAGGTGACCCTGTACATGCAGTGGGTTATACTGCAGAACAGAACTGTGAGCTTAGGGAACCCAAATCTCTTGTTATGATCAGTAATCATGTCAGCCTCTTGCTATAGACAGAGGCATAGATATACCCTGATCCTACCCCTATGTTCTCTTTGTCTAGACTGTGCTGACCCCAGACAGCTGAATGGCTCACTCTTTACCTCCCTCATGTCTTAGCTCAAATGCACTGTCTCAGAGGGGCCTTCTCTGTGCTCTTTAGGTTTGCAATTCCCACCCCTATTCCAACTAGCACTAATTATTCCTTCTTCTGGCTTAAGCAACTAGGTAGATATTGATGTCATCTGCTGAGATAAGGGAGACTGCAGAAGAGCTGATTCATTTTGTGTTTGATTTTTGAAGAAAATAATTCTGATTTAACCTTGCTCAACATTTATGGGACTGCACTAGTCTGGAGCTTGGTAAGGATGGTCAGCTCCAGAAATACACAAAATCTAACATGAATTATACACTGTCCAGAGATAAAAATTGTTCTTGCCTATATCACACTACACAACTATCATTGTTCATTGCTCTCTACTAACATTCAGCCATGCAATTTCTTTCATATCTCTCATTTGGTGTGGTAATTCTATTTTGTCCTGTTGCTTAATTCACCCACATCACATCAGCTTATGAGTTAGACAGGAGGGACATATACCAGTGGCTAACAGAAATTTGGCCACGTTAAAAACCCATGTCTAACTTCTGCAGAAGTCAGAAGTGCTCCAAGGTTAGTCATTTCATTTTCAGATATTCAATCTTGCAGAATGTGTTAATAAAAACATCAACTTTCAACTCCCCATCAGCTAAAAATAACAGTACATTCATGGTCTCCTCTACATAGTTTTCAAGGTTAACTCTGTGGAAGAAGAAACAGCAAAGGCTTGCTTAAGCCAAAATGTCAGGGGCATTTAGGGGAAGGAAGGGGAAGATAAAGTGCAGAAAGAGGCAAAAAGTAGAGAAGTTATTTATATCCTTATCATGTCATTCTTTTCAAAATACGTAAAAAGAGTTTAAAATGTTTTTGAATGAACTCCCATTGTGCCCAACACTATCCTGGATCGCAGTACTCATCAAAAAGTTGAAAAACCTGCTCGTTTGGAATCATTTAGGTTTATCCAAGTGAATGTTGAAAGCGTGGAGTCTATAACAAGACCTGGAGTCAAGGTCTAGCTGAGTGACTTACTCAGTGACCTTGGGCCAACTGCTTTTCCTCTCAAGTCCTGCTTTTGCTTCCCTCACAGGGATGGTTCATGGGTCAAACGAGACAGTGCATGTGCAAATAGCCTGCAACAATAAATCTTCTGCAAATACATAATCATTATCTAAGGGAATGATTCTTAGGTTGGGATATGTGTTACAATCATCTGGGAAACCCCTCAGCATCTTGATTTTCTTATCTACAAAGTGGGATAACAATACCTAGCTTACTGGTTTAAGAAGAATAAGAGAGATAAAGTATATAAAGGTACTTAGCCTCATTCCTAGCACTTAGTAGGTATTCAGACATGTTTAGACATTTATCTAGTTTAAGAGGTGCGTAACAGCATATAGCCAAATGTTCACCTGAAAATACCTATTTCACTGCCTATTAAACACAGCTGAAGTGTCACCATAAGTGGCCTATTCTTCAGACAATGACAGGAAAGTGAGCACTGGATATAAGTCTAATTTAACACCCTGCTTTATTCCTACATGGTTCTATACTGTGTGATATACAGTGAGGCCCTTTCTTTTCCCTCACCTTCACTGCTTTTTTTACTTCTTCCAAAGGAGACTAAGTTTCAAGTGGGTGTAGCTTAAATCCTTTGCAAGTGCTCCTGTGTCCTTTCAAAAAATAACATGGTCCTTCGGAGACATTTTTAAGGACATCAACAGCCTCACG